AAGTATTTCTTGAGCAAATCAGCATATTAGAATGATTTCTGAAGGATCATGTTACACTAAAGACTGGAGTAATGATGCAGAAAATTCAGCTTTGATCACAGGAATAAATTACATTTTAAAATATATTCAAATAGACAATTAATTTAAATTTTTCACAATATTACTTTTTTTTTTAACTGTGTTTTCGATCGAGTGAATGCAGCCTAAGATACAGCTTTCATAAACAGTTTTTTTATCTTAACTCCAAACTTTCAAACAGTAGTGTATGCATATAGAAAAATCTCAAATCAATTTTAATAAAAGTGCCCTTACCCGCAGTCTGGAGCAGGGCACCAGCGGCAGTCAGGGTCGGCCACCAGCCAGCGACGCAGCATGAACTCCTCATATTTCTCCATGAGCACACGGTCGTTGAGTATCATGCGGATGTCGTGGGGGTTGAAGCGCTCTGAGCACTCTGGGCAGCTGATGTTGACCCTGCTCTCAGAGATCTCGATGCGCAGATACTGTCGGAGGCAGTCGGCACAAGAGCGGTGGTGGCATGTCATGATGTCAGGGAAGCGGTCTCTGGTGTGGCGCAGCAGGCACAGCGGGCACTCCAGCAGTTCAGAGGTGGAGGCTGAGGATGAGGAAGATGAAGATGAGGTGGAGGCCACACCAGGTGCAGAAAGCGCCGAGGCGTGATCCTGCTGCTGGCACATTTCCGACTGCATGCTCTCCACACTGGCGATGCCGTCCCCTCCGGCGGTCAGTGCACGTGACTTGCGGGATTTGGGGTCCCCGCAGCGCCGGCGGAACAGAGAGCGCAGCGAGATGCGGCGTTTTTTAGGCGTCTTCCGTACGGAGGGCAGACTGACGGATGAGGCGGCGGAGGGAAGGTCCCTCTCGGACCCCTGCTGCTGCGGCTGATGCAGGAGGAGGAGGAGGAGGAGGGGGAGGGAGAGGGAAGGGGGGACAGGGTTTTCAGAGGGGAGCGTGAGGTGTTAAGACATGGTGGTGAACTCTCCGCAAGCTGCTCCCTTGAGCCAGGCAGCTCAAGTTGGGACACACGGGTCAGTTTGGAGTCACCAGGCTGGATCTCGACCTGATCTGTGAAGAAACAGAGACATGGCTGAGTGAGACACAACACACATCTAACAGTGGAAGACAGATGACCTCATTTGAAATACATTTTATATTGATTCTACAATATTTTGAGATATCAGTCAACATATTTATAATTAAAATTTTTGCTTTTTTTTGTGCAACCATTTGCAATAATAAAAAAAAAAACGATTAGTTAATTTCTTTATCAATTCACAGTTCTAGTTAGTATGAGAAAAAGTGTATATGTGCAATAGGCCTACACAATGCACTATGCGATATATATTGCTATATGAAAAGATACAGAATTTTTCACCAGATGACTTGAATAGCTCCATTTGGAAAGAATTAATAATTCTAGTGACTGGGTGTTTTAAGGGAGTGTATCTGCCTAACAAAAAAAATATATATATCTGAAAAATTTGTTTTTACTCTGAAGACTTTGAGAACAATCCATAATGTTCAGTAATTTGTTATTAAAAAAACATAATAAAAATAATGCTATTAGACTGTAAAAAAAAAAAAAAAAGACAATTTTAAAATTACAATACTTACAATTTTTATATATTAATTTATTTTAAAAAATGTGCATGTTAAACAATTAAGCTTTTATTTTTGGCAATTTTCTGGCAAACCTGCAGTGCATATATGCTTTTAATTAAATCACGTTTTGTTTTTTTGCTATTTAATTTACGCTCCACGCCATACTGTGATACCATTTTTATTTTGATATACGGCTTCATTTTACCCATCATTTGTTTACCCTGATGTTGCAGATGTTATTGTGGAAGTGTAAATTGTTTACTGTATCCTGTATCTAGATTTCTATTTGACTGTCATTAAATATGGAGGACCAAACCTGCAAAAACAATAAATGAATAAATACACAAATAAATAAATAAATATTAAAATAAATAAATAAATGTGTGTACAAATACACGTATTCTTGTTTAAATACATATAGAAATAATTAAACGTGATTAAAGTAGGCAAATAAATAAAATAAATTGGTGGGCAAATGGAAAATGTTTAAGGAAATGCCAAACTCATCCTATTTATTTTCCTTTGATCACTCATTCATGTTTAATTATTTCTATATGTATTTAAACAAGAATACGTGTATTCATACACACATTTATTTATTTGAATATTTATTTATTTATTTGTGTATTTATTCATTTATTGTTTTTGCAGGTTTGGTCCTCCATAATTAAAGAGATAGTTCACCCAAAAACGGAAATTTGAAAATTAAATCTACTCACCATAATGTCATTCTAAAATCTACTTTTTCTTCTGTGGAACAAATTATATTTTGAGAAATTCTAAGAGTTTTGTAACCATTTGTAACGACATGAGGACGAGTAAATGACAGATTCTTTTTTTCATCTATTAGCTGAATTCTTAAAACATTTTACAGAATGTCACTTTAGTAAATGATTGGTTCTACACCGAGTAGTTTGCAGTGATGTTTTCTTTACCGAGAAATAAAAATAGACATGCATATTTGGATGATGTCCTTTTTTCCCAGCTTTAAATCTACTTGAAATTAAACGTGATTACTGTATCAAATACATTTTATTTGTCCTCCATATCGAGCAGCCCTAATAACGAATCATTCAGTAAATGAGGGTGGTTACTCAATTAACACCTGACTCACTCACTGAACTGCAAGTCATCACGACTTTCATTCAAACCCCAAATGAAACGGAAGCATGTTGCATGTACTTCACCTTATATGGGTTTTCATTAACTGTTGTAGTTATAACTATAAACAAGTTTTTGGCTTTGCTTTTAAAATAAATAAATACATAAATAAATACAGTGTTACAAAATTCTGGGTAACTTTATTTTTACTTTAACTTTATTTATTTTACAGTGTCCTTGTTACACGTTACTTGTACTTACTGTAGTAATAACAACAAATTATGGATAATTACACAACTAACCCTAACTTAAACCCCAATCCTAATCTTATAGAAAGTAAATGTTGTTAATTCATAGATAAAAATAGTAATACAATGTATAGAAATGTTAGTACATACTTTAACAATTGCACATTTTCAGTGTTCTGTTCATGAATTTCATGTGAGAAGCAAGTTTAAGGGCTGCAATTGATTCCTGCAGTCTGAAAACATTAAACAATGCCAAGATGAGCTTTGAGAAGCACTGACTCACACTAATTGTTTCACAGCAATGAAACAATTACAAAAATACTGCAGAACCACTTTTGAACATGATGTGACATCACTGATACTGTAACAGGATAGACCAGGGGTAGGCAGCCTATGGCACACGAGCAATAGGCCTGTTAGGAGCTATAAATACTATTAAAGTGTGAGAATTAACCTGCGCTAGTCTACAGAAGCCCGTGGCTCCGGCAAATCATTCGCACAACCGCTGCACATACGAGGCTCTTCTGATCAGCGGTTTAACAGCGTTCGTCAATGTCAAAATAACTGAGATGGCCAATCAAATCAAAGTAGGCGGGGTTTACTGTTCACAGAAGCAGAGTGTGAATTCCAGTGCAAAGTGTCAGTTTAACGTTGAAAGAGTGAGGTAAAGATGGAAATTACAAATCATTTAATATTAGACAACTGTTTTACGATAGAAATGTTAAATGACAGACAGCTATATCCAGTGATGCTCAAATATGGCCATTTTTTTGAGAGAGAGAGAGAGAGAGAGAGAGAGAGAGAGAGAGAGAGAGAGAGAGAGAGAGGGCAAACTATATGACTGTGTGGCATCCAGAGGGATAATCACTGGCACGCAAGCAATATATAAGGAAAACTGCATACTGACATACATTTTGAGGTAATCATTCCTCATAGTCACACAGCCTGTTAAGAGCTATAAATAATATTAAAATGGGAGAATTAACTTGCGCTAGTCTACAGATATTCGTGGCTCCGGCAAATCATTCGCGCAACCACTGCGCATACGAGGTGCTTCACATCAATGGATCAATGACAAAATAATTGAGATGGCCAATCAAATCAAAGTAGGTGGGGTTTACTGTTCACAGAAGCAGAGCGTGAATTCCAGTGCGAAGCATCTGTTTAACGTTGAAACAGAGTGAGGTAAGATGCAAGTCATTTAATATTAGTCAACTGTTTTACAATAGAAATGTTAAATGACCGACAGCTAGGCTATATCCAGTGATGCAATCTATTTGACCTTTTTCCTCAAATATGGCCATTTTGAGAGAGAGAGCGAGAGAGAGAGATTAAAGTTGCGTGTGTGAATTACCAGTGTCTGTCTCTCTCTCTAAAAAAAAATGAGTTTAGTTACTTAAAAAACTGCAATTTTATTCCCTTGTTGCTTGTCTCTGTGTTCTGTGCTCCTGAATGTTTCTGTCTGATCTCTGTGTGTGAGTGATGTGTGTTGTTTGTGTGCGTCAATTAAAGCAGCGCATTAATTAAACTGAACTGTTTTAATGCACAATTGGCCTCGTCTCACACACATACGGTGGAGGGTTATTGGCAAAGCGGTTATCAGAAAACGTAAAACTACACGCCCAAAAGGTTGCCGACCCCTGGGATAGATGCAACTACTGCATGCCAGAGAAAGCCATAGAAACCGTGATGGTCAGAAACCTGAGACAGCAGAACAGGCAAGAGAATGAGGATCCTCCTCATCATTCATCGATGTGTTTCCTCACCCTGCCTGCAGGCTAGGGCTGCACGATTAATCGCATGCGATATTTAACGCGCATCTTGTCAGAAAGCCGGTTCTGTAATCAGCGGTAAATCTCCATCACCTGCGTGCTTTCACATTGAGCAGCATTAACTACACAGAGCTGTTGTTCGCTGATGAGCTGCGCAAAAAATTGCGCGAATATGAACGTGGTTTAGCGCAGCTCGTCAGTGAACAACGGCTCTGTGTAGTTAATGCTGCTCAATGTGAAAGCACGCAGGTGATGGAGATTTACCGCTGATTACAGAACCGGCTTTCTGACAAGATGCGCGTTAAATATCACATGCGATTAATCGTGCAGCCCTACTGCAGGCCTTTCACAAACACACCAGAAAGGCTGGCGAGAGCTCTCGTTTCAGAAAAAATTTAATTTACTTTCAGATCTAAATGAATGTCTGTGGGTTAAACGTACCATATCGTGGGTGCAGCAAGATACTTTAGTTAGCACAGAAAGTGTTTTTGCATATGAATAGGTGTGAACTTATCACATGCAGCACAATAAAAAGTGTCAGACTCAACAGAATGAGGAAGAGACACTGGTATGAATCATCTGAGCTTCCCAAAAACGCTGCAGCCTGTCACATGAGAAGTCACAGGAATAACAGAGGACATTTACTTAACGACTCTTGACAATAATAAGAGGTGTTTTCCACACTCTGGTATCTTTGGCAATTTGCATTAGATGTTTCTTTTTCTTTGTGATCCAAGACTCTCTGCTGCCTCTAAGCCATACCAGAAATATTTTAACCTCCTTGTGCAAATACACACACACACACACTTTCCAGCTGGGGTTTTTCACACTCTCCATTCAAAACACACTAGGGTATTTGCTCATGAGGTTAAAGGAAGCAGATAATTATCAGCCAAATGAGTTCCACTATACAATCAATGATACCTTTGTTTTTTTAGACAAAGTCTGATAGGAATTGTGATGCACATTTCCAGAGCATCAATTGCTCCAAAAATATTCCACAAACTCTTACAAGCATGGCAGATGTGTGAGACCAAAACTTAAAGGGGACATAAAAAACACACAGTTTCTGCCAATCTCATGTTAATCTTTAGTACCTATAGAGTAGCATTGCATCCTTCGTATCTCCAAAGAGTCTTATCAGACTCTCAGAGTTTTATCAGATT